GAGTCTTTAGATCGTTGGAAATGGCATTTTCAGAGTCTTCTCTACCTTTTTCACACAAGTTTTGGTAGCTTTTCTTTAGATATACAAAACCATGTTGTTGAATACCCACGAGCACGAGGTTGCATGAAATGATGTTTTCATTATCTATTTTTGGTTTAATGGCGTGAATTTTTTCAGAAGAAAAAAGTTTTATGTAAGTTGACGCAAATGAAGTCACTCTTAATTATAGTTAAAATGTGCAACAAAGCCAACATATTTGAGAACCAGTTGGGTTATTTTCGAAATCTGTGAGATATTAACAAGCTGTGAGCTCACCATGAGGTTTTAGTAAAATCTGTGATGCTCGTGGTGGATCCGTGAGAGTTGGCAACTATGCTCTATATACACATGTATTGTAATTTATATACAGTATTCTTTACCATTTATTGAGTCAACGGCTGTTCCAATGTACACGCCTGTTTATCGGTTGTAATCAGTTTACTACACTTATACTTGTAGGGCCTACCGCATTTTAGTACTGTGTTAAGCCTTTTGCGCTCGTATTCGACTTTTCCGCTTAGTATTGTGCGTATTTGTATGACTTGTATAGTCCCAGCGAGTTAACGCTCCGCAGAGCGTCTTGTTAATATTCAGAATTGAACTTTGCTTCGAGTCTTTGAGTAGTTTGTTGAAAAAATTGTGGTTGTTTATCGCGATTTTTCACTCACAAAATTTTGTTTTATGCGGTTTTCGTATCATGTTTCATTTATGTTAACCACGCATTGAGTCACCCTTGGTTTCGAGTCATGTCACAAAAGTGGAATGATATTCGCCGGGGGTTAAATGGTTTTTAAAACAGGATGTTCAACAAAATTTACTCATCATCAAATTCAGGAATGGTTCAGTACTCCTTCTATTGATACTACAAAATGCAAATAACACTCTCGAACTGTCGAGTTATCGCGGTTTGAATTAAAATGGGTATATTTCGGGTAAGTGCATTGGCCATAAAAGAAATGGCAATGATATACGCCGGGGTTAAATAGTTTATAAATCGGGATATTCAGCAAAATTCGCATAATTGTATTCTGGAAGGGTTATGGTTCTAGCTGGTACCTTATAACATTATTCAAAAACTCATTAATAATTGATGAAGCAATTATCCAATCTTGAGTAAGAAATTAGTCACGTGCATACGTCTTTATACCAGCTAAAGAACACTTTAACAAAAGACCATTGTTATGCAAACTATATAAAGATTTTTATATAAAGATTTTTACATAAAGATTTGACTTATTATGCAAACGTTTTTGAAGCCATTTAAAAAACTCGCAGGTCGTGTTTTATTATGTCTAAAGCCACTCGTGCTGCGCGCTTTAAACCTAATAAAACACTCCTGCTTGTTTTTAAATAGTACATAATCTCCTCCAATCGACGAGTTATGGCGGTTTCAATAATATGTTGGGTATAGTGCACAATTACACGAATACGGCTTTTTAGTGATATACGCAGGGGGTTAAAATTCATATCACAACCTCGTACCCAGGGACTTTCCTCTTGGGGAGAAGAGACCCTGTGCTCATCCTCGTTCCCAGGGCTTCTCGGCTGTCTGACGTTGCCACAATGAACTTATTTAAACACTGCGCATGCTCAATAGATTTTCTTAATTCTTATATGACGTCAAACGCGGAATCGCGGATAAACACTTCGGCTTCGATTTTGTTTGTTTTGTTTTGAAAGTTTTTCTTCAGGAAAACCCCACATAGATTTCGCTAATTTTATTTATTTAAGTCAATTAGCAGGTAAGACTTGTGTTCTTAATATATATTTCCCTCTAGTTAAACGCTGTCAAAAAGACTGAAAAACAGCAGTAATGGCTACGGATACGAAGACGAGTGATGCTGTTTTACGGATTTTTAAACTATTTTTTGTGTTTATTAAAAGTCAACAGTCATACATAAGATATACTATGCTGCAAATCCTCTGAAAATTGTAAAAAATCGGTTTCTAAGAAGAAATTAGTTATTACAAACTTCATATTCCGGCTGGCTTATTTCTCTTCAGATGGCACTTCAGCTTTGACATGAACACAGATTTGTTTAATTAACATCACTGATTTGAGAATACGACGAGCATCGGGCCATAAATATGTTGATTTTTTGCTATAATAAATGTTGTGTGAACAACTACCAAAATACAAAGAAAACTTTTGTTGTATAGTGCTGAGCCATAGGACTGAAGTTTATAAAATCAGCAGAGAGAATATATATGGTCATTTGTTCTACAAGAAATATGGAGTGATTGAATAATTTTACAATTATTTAATATATATAATAAGATAAAAATAAGATTGAATAATACAGTAATAGTGAATGTTATTACAGTATAAATATGAATGTGAACAAATGTTTTTTATAATGTGGACTGTGGAGTGTAGCTAGAGGTTTGATTGAGGGCTGAAGTGCCGAAATGAGCCAGTTAGAATATGAAGTTTATGAAGGATATTTTCTTCTTAGAGGCCGAATTATAACAATTTCCACAGGATTTGCAGTATGGTATGGTCTTATGTAGGATAATTTGACTGTTGACATTTAATAAAACACAAAAAAAAACAGTTTAAAAATTCGACTTAAAATCGAAAATAAAATAGTGAGACAATCTCTCGTCTTTGTATCCGTAGCCATTACTGCTTTGTTTTTCAGTCACTTTGAACACGTTTAATTAAGAGGGAAATATATACTAAATTTTATCAACATGCATTCAAAACATCACGTCTTACCCACTAATTGATTTAAATAAATAAAATTAGCGAAAACCAACGCTTCATGGAGCGCTTGTGTATTTTTATTCACTGATATTTACAATAAACCATATATTTCGTTGTGGTATATGCCAGTTTGATATGGATATGGCCAGAGCCCTCGTCGCGCTCGGTTGACCGCGCGTAAGAAGGGCTCTGGGTACGAGAATGCAGTGAACTGTAACACTGGCACGCTAACTGCAGGTAAACATTACTCGCCCGAAGCCAAGATGGTGCTTCTCGCGCGGCTCAGCGAGCAATAAATCAGGCAATAAATTAACTTTCAAAAGGACTGGGAGAGTTTCGAGGAGCGGAAAATTCAGTCAAAAGTTTGTTTTTGAGCGAAAATCAGCAAGAAAAAGTACTTTTGTATCAAAAGGGTTCAACTTTAAAGATTCAAACCTAATTTTCTGGATAGTTCTAGTAAGTATTTTATATCCACTACCAGCAAAAACTTCCTGGGTAACAGCTTGATATTTAAAATATTACACAAATTTGAACGTGCCGAAAAAAGCTTCTTCGCAATGGTGGTTCATTTCATGTTTTATTTTCTGTATATAAATGCTGAAATAAAGCAGTCGGCTAGGAAAGGCTTTCACAGAGCAGTAAAGGAATGGTTTGGAAAATTTCAAGTAAAAGTTCCAATTGAATACCCGCGGATAACAGGACTGGATAAATTTACCTTTCCACTTTGTTCCAGTTGTAAGGAACTTCACTGAATGCCAGGAGACACCTTACCACGTCTCTGTGTAAACATGGATTTACAAAACCATTATAGAAATGAGATAAAAGTTGCATTGGACACCCCATTCTGAAATTCTGGTTTTAAGCCTTCTGCTAGCTACAGTAGGCTATGTTGAACTGGAAAACTATTTGAATATTTTTAATGTGGATATGTATACCAATATATGTATTGACCTCATCTTGGATTTCTAATGAAAAATCTGCTAGATTGTGGCAGATCACGTGACCAGCGTCTACCAGGGTCTTTTATCTTTTCTCCCCTCGCCAAGAGGAAAGACCTTGGGTACGAGGTTGTTCACATCATTGTATTCAGGAAGGGTTACTCTTTTTATTGATACCTTAAGATCCCAAGGGTTTTATCCCCGGGGGTCACGTTCTGCGTATATATATGTAAAATATCGCGTGTAACTCATGTGACTTCAAAATACGAACGAACGTTGTGTTCTTTTTTGAAACAAATGCATGAACTTTGCTCTGGTGAAAATTATAACAAGAGTTTTGAAACCCACAACGATACTTGGACGTGATGTTTCAGAAAAAGATATTAATGTAATTTTTTTTCAAGCGGTGTTCGCGAACATTGGGATATGATATAAAGTTTCCTCAAATATTTCCAGTGTTTTCTGCATAATCTAGGAGCACTTACAAGTCAAAATGTCATAAAACGTACAAGTCATAATTACTCTTGCAAATTTTACATGTAATCATCCACGCTTAGTTGATCATTAACCGTCAAAGTAAAACAGTATACAAAACATAATTTATATTTTGTAATTTTAAAAAATCATGCCTTGTTGTTTACGAATGCATTCAGGACCCCAGGCGCGAAACCATAATATTGTACACGTCAGATGTGATAACTGTTCACGACACATCTAGTAAAAAAATGCCAAAATTAACCCTAATTAATTTCTCCCTTTTCTATTCGGTAAAACTTTTTAAGACATTGCATATTTCTTAATATCCGCTATATATGCTTATATACGCTTTTGCTCATTTCTTAATATGCAACATCTTTTTTTCTTAAATTTGCATGCAGGCTGAGTTTCTCTTAGTTTACGGTGAGCTGAATTCAAACACATTCCCTTCACAGGTTCCATGTCATAAAATGAAGAATTGTAAAAATGGGGGAAAGATGATCATTTATCTCAAAGATTGACCTGGTTCTGATCCTTACAGGTGTGCATGTCCAAAGGGATTCAGTGGAGATCTCTGCCAAATTGATGAGTTGTCAAAGACAAAGATTGTTGCGCAAAATAAAGATAAAATATAGAATTATAGAATCAAAAGTCGCCGCAACAAGAACTCATCTCGAGCCTTTATCTATAGATATATAGATATATAAGGGTACCAATAGTCAATATGGTTATGCACTGCTAACGACCATTATACACTGCTAATGACCATTATGCACTGCTAATGACCATATAATGGTTATTTTACACAATGGTTGAGAATTAGACAGTTGAGAATTGAGTCACAGTCCCAAACATTTTGACGAAATAACATCTTTATTTTCGGCAAGTTGTCCTTTCGGCAAACTGTCCGTTCGGCAAAATGTCCGTTTGGAAAAATGTCCGTTCGGCAAAACGTCCGTTCGGCAAAATGACCGTCGGCAAAATGTCCGTTCGGCAAAATGTCTTTCAGCAAAATGTCTTTCGGCAAAATGTCCGGGTACCATCTTAGGAATGTCGACCTTTGGAATTGGATTTATATTAGCTATTTTCCATAATCTAGGCCACATGGATGTGGCCAACGACATATTCCAAACTTTCATTACAACTGGGGATAGAATGTTGGCAAAATCTTTCCATATCCAGGAAGGAATTTTGTCAGACCCTGTCGCCGTTCGTTTTATCGATCCTAGAGCGTTATATACTTGATCGTAGTCTAGCTGAGGTGTTTCAAATGCAGTACTAGTGTCCATTTTCAAAGGTTCCTCGTACTCAGGGTCATGACATACATCAGCGAAATAGTCATTCAGATCCTCAACAAAATTTCTTTTCAGTAGTACCCTCGGTGTATCTTTTCCCAGCAATAACTTGTCAATTTTGTTCCACCAACTGCCTGATCCAAACGTACCTGAGTCCATGTTCCTCCTGTTCTGTGCTATAATCTCTGCTATCCTCTTGCTTACTTCCTCTGCTTGGTCGTTCTTTCCTCTAGCTACTAGTTTATATTTTCTTTGTAGAAGACTTTTAACCAATGGTGTCAACCAAATTGGATCCCTCGTTGACATTTTAACTGTTCTTGTTGGAAGGCACGAATCGAGTAGAGAATTTATTGTTGTGTGAAGAATATTTGCTGCTTCATTAACATCATCCGAATCAAGCACCTTCGACCATTTTTGTTGTTGTAGAGCATTCTTTAGAGCTAACATACGATGGGTTCTTTTATCTTTGATCGTACACTTCACTCGAATTGGTTTCAGTTTAGTTCCTTGTGGTACAATGATACCGAGGTGGTCAGTTTTTATTTGCATTGGCTTTGTAAACAGATCGGCTCGATTTGTTAAGCAATTATCTAATATAGCGTTATTTTTGTTGGGAAATCTACCATGACATCCAAGAAGTTTTCGATCTTCAAATTATTGAAATCCCCTCCACACAATACAACACCATCAGGGTTAGTGTCTAAAAAATCGTCCATTTTCTCTGTTAAGTGGTTTAACAGATCCATCTCGTGATACGATGACCACAAATTAGCATATTATGGTTCCCAGGGAGTTTTACAACGACTGAAATGGATTCATATTTGTCCGATCGGTCAACACTTTCGATTTGAATGTTACTCCTAACATAGACCGCTACCCCTCCGCCCTTTCTTTTATCATTACCAAAGCAGTTTCGATCTCTTCTATGTAATACGTAGTTTGATATCGCTACAACCGAGTCTGGAATATCTGGTTTTAAGTGAGTTTCCGAAACAATGCAAATATCAACGACTGTGGCAATCATATCCGCTGCGAGGGCAACCGGTGCTCGTACTCGATTTTTGGTTTTATTTAGGCCACATATATTTATCAGTGAACATTTGGGCATCGGGTCAGCCTCGTACCCAGGCGCTATGTGTTGTTCTGGGCTTGCGCGGTCTTTGCGTGGGCCGCGTGGATTAATTTGATCGATTTCGTGGTGAGGCGCCTGGCAGAATCCGTTTCGATTTCTGGAGCGGATTGCGATTTCTGGAGCGGACTCAATAAACTGGATTTTTAGAGGTTTGAAATACCACTTTTCATTGAAAACTGTATGACATTGATGAATCTTTCAACTGAAGAATAACTGTTGAATGTAAATTTGTGCGAATATCGTGCTTATTTAATCCACACAAAGTAGGGTATATTAAAATACTATATAATTATATTATCAAACAGCCTAGTGTAAACTCGTTTTGGAGTGAATCTACGTAGCATTCGTTGTTTCAGTCGCTTTATGGATTGAATATGTCACAGAAATTTCATTGCAATATGATGAAAGGCATCAGAATACCTATCTTAAGAGGCTCAAACTCTCAAAGAACGCGGCGGCCTATAGGCGGCGGCAAACAGTTTATATTTGTAAACAGTCACAACAATAGATATTCGTGTCGTCCGGTAGAGTGCAGTATACAGTCATTTACGTTTAATGTACTGGATTTAAAACATGATGACAATGATTAAAATGACGAGAAATATAACTAGGTTCAAAATAACCAGTGATTTGCAAATAAAATATGAATTGGCAAGTAATAAAAAGCGGATATATCCGCACGACAACAACTGGCCTAGCCAAGGTCAAAATATACCTATATTACTATATATGGCTGTATTCGAACCATATGGCTCTAAACTATACAAATCTTGACAAATAAATCAAATTTTGTATCTCAACTACAAATTTTGAGGTTAATACGATAAATACAATGCGTGATATAGAACTGACATTGAACAAAAACAGCAAAATATTACAGCATAAACAAGGCAAACTATTAAAAGTTTAAGTTAAATATTGCACTCCAAAGAGTTATTACTGGCAATTTACGAACCCGTATTTTGCTGTAAACAATGTAATTTCAATAATAATATAAATAATACAGAACACTTGTAGAACACTGACCCGCCATTTTGAATGCGAATTCTACCAGGCGCTTCCCGCCCAATTTTCCATTTTTCTCCCTCGCGTGGCGTCCCACGTGCGCATAATGACGTAAACAAACCAAAGCGCCTGGGTACGAGGCTGGCATCGGGTAGTTTATGCAGTGATGATCAATTGTAGGATTTCTTGGGATTGGTATTAGATTTCGTTCCCTAATATGCCGCATATGTTCATGCCTATATAATGACTTTTCCGGTCACGGTTTATTATTATAGGAATGTTATAGCTCTTGTTGTTTAACTCGTATATCTTGCGAATATGCCTACGGCCGGCTCGTTTTCCTCTGAAACGAAACAATATCCTGACTGTTTAATTTGGTTTAGAATTGATTATTACATGCTGTGATGGTTTTTAGACCCCATAACTCCCTTCTTGAGTATACACGGCGAAATGAACAACTTTGATTACCGATGCCGATTTATGGGTTTGCAATATTGCCGATGTGTTGTTTGTACAATTCATGTCTAAGGATGTTTCTGTTATATTTGCCGGTCCAGGATTGCTAGAGATATCCATGCAGATAGTTAGTTCAGCAGCAGGATGTACATCTTGTAAACAGAGGCAGAGATGCCCATGGTTTGTCCATCTAGCATGCGGCCTTTTCACCATTTTGTTCGAATTCATAGCGAAATTCATTGCCACAATATTTATTCGTCTCTTCACTAAAATCATATGCAACTCGTTCATACCATATGTGATAGCTTCATTATGATTATTATCGAGTCTGTGCTTGTTATATTTATCAAATATTAAAAGTTTTATGCTACACATACAAAAAAAAAGGAGCATAGCAAACACACGTCTGGCAGCCATGACGGCGCACGGGTATACTATAGGTCAAAAACGCGTTTTCGACAACGACAAAAGTTTTATACTTTTCGACAAAAGTTTTATGCTACACATACACAAAAAGAGGAGCATGGCAAACACACGTCTGGCAGCCATGACGGATGGGTACTAGGTCAAAAACGCGTTTTCGACAACGCATAACTCGAAAACAATTTGGGATATAAAAAGACTATTTAAATGTCTTATATGTAGGTTTTCGTAAGCTTTCTGATGATGCAAGTCATTTTTGTTGTAATTGAATACAAACTTTCACATTTTCTTGCTGTAATACAATTTAATAAAGAATAATCGCTGGAAACTCGTTTTCTCGGTATTAGGAAGGTTTTTCGCTTGGGAACTTTTTGTGGTAATTGAGCATCTATGGTACTATGCATTGAACCACAGAAAATCTATTCCCCAGGTGGGTGCAACGAAATTGCTTTTCTTAATAGTGGAAAACCGGCTTATATTTGATATGCAAGTTATCCTCATTATGACGTCACATTGCATAACGACTTCCCCCTCCAAAAAAATCTGCAAGATCTTGCTATATCGTTCATCGAAATCGTAAAACCGTGCAAGTGTGTTAGGTCAACATGCTAAAAATATATACTATATGTCGACAGATTCGAGTCAGTTATTTATAAGAGTTATAATTTAAATTTCACAAAGCCTTCATGCAATTTGACGTTATAGTTTGGCGAATTTGCGCATCGAATATTCTTGAATATCTCAAGAAAGAAACAAGTCAAGATAGTTTGCCAAAGTATTTTACTATAGTCATTTCGAATTTTCTCTTCAATTCAGTAATAAAAAAATATATGAAAAATTTCGTTGCAAAAGCACTTAGCTTAGTCGACCAAAATTAAATATGGTCTGATATGAATGCAGATGGATGTTGATTCAACTACCTGAAAAATATCAGTAAAACTTCGACGTCAGGAAGTTAGTAGAATGGTAATATTAAACTTCAAGTTAGTAGTATGCTAATATTAAACTTCAAGTTAGTACTATATAGCATACTAAAACTTCAAGTAAGTAGTATGGTAATATTAAACTTCAAGTTAGTAGTATGCTAAAAACTTCATGCTGCTAACTTTCCAACGAGGGCCTTCCGCTCGAAACGTCAAAGTTTTACCTGTATTTTTTACGGGTAATTGAACCCATATCCATTCGTTACTACTACCTTCGCTGGCACAGATATATAATCGAGTTTGTAATCTTGTCTTACGCCCTGATCAAACGACATGTAAGTCATCCAGGCATGTTTTAAACTGTGAGGCATACGGAAAAGATGGAGTGGTATAAATTTGATCAAAATATGGGGAATGTGAAATACACAAAATGTCATGTGAAAACGATTAATGTGGTTTTTCTTCTAATATACAGCTGAACATGAATATCTTATATACACTTTGTATGCAGGAGTTGAAGTCGTTTGATTGTTAAAGTTATTGTTGCAAGTATTTCCGTTGATTTTTGAAAATGTCGGTGAAAGATTTTTGTGGTTTTCGAATTGTTTCTTATTAATTTTTTCGCTTGTTTAATATGATCTTATTTCTTCCTATTATTACTTATAAATTTACCTATGCATCGTTAGACATAATTTACTGAAAGCCTTTCAGAAATTGATTTCACATATTTAATCTAAAACAACACAAAAATATAGTGCAGCTGGTCAAGCAATAACGATTTCTGAGATTGGTGTTAAATCTAGTTTAATTCATTGGTGTAAAATCTTGTCGTATTGTTAAATAATATAGTTGATTTGTTGCAAAGTTCAGTGTCAAACTGTCTTTTAATTCAATTTTCGGCAATGTTCATATTAACCGGAGACAGCTTTATGTCCGGGGCAAGCAATTCTCGCGGGTCAAAAATTGTCTTGGCTTCTCAATAAAACAGTAGTGCTGTTGACATTATTGGAAAAATTCTGCCCCCCCCCCCCCTTGGAAAAATTCTGACAAGTACAAGCATGTGGAATATATTTTCATTTCTTGTAATGGAAACGTTACTAATATCTCCCAATGTTTTAAATGTTCTGGATTCAACAGATTAAAATAAAGCCCAAAATCACAGAGTAGAGACATACAGAGACGTAACTAGTGTACCCACTTTTTTTGTGCGCATGCTCAGCAAATTACTAGATGCATGCATCTGATTGGATGACAACCTGATGACGACTCACTTTAAACTTGCTGAGCACGCGCAGTTGATATTTTTTTGCCCGGTTGCCTGAAAAAAAGTGGGTACATGAAAACGTAAGCTTCCGCAGTGTTTACAACGGTCAGTTACGTCTCTGTATGTCTCTACTCTGTGCCAAAATGCTGAAAATGACACTTTATATTATGCATGGTAGCGTGAGAATCCAGATACATTTTCACATAATAATTAACAAACTATATATATCTGAACTAGCACAGGGTAAAATTGCTTCGGCCCCCCTTGTCAGAAATCCTGCATGGTTGCGGCACTATCAATTTAGTGCAGACGAAAATTACAGTAAGAGCGCTTTGGACTGCAGCAAAACTTGTTATTTGTTTGAAGATATCATTAGAAATATATAAGTGCATGATGACTCATGATATTATTAAACTGATTTTCGCTGATGTCATGTTTGAAACCAACAAGTGTAGTATATGCTATTCAAAAAATTGGTGTGGTTCAAAATGTTGAATAGAGCACATTTTACCACGACTGACAATCAACTATGTTAAATTTGAAATATATATGTATTTGAAGTACTAATTAATGTACTTTGTTTATTGATCAATTACAAATCATATTTTGGTCATCATATTTAGAGTATGTTAGTGCACATTGTTTTTACGTGTCTTTTAAATGAAGTTGGATTAGAGAAAGGACTATACGTAGAGCTGGGGCCGGTTGTATAAAAAAGTGATTAAAGTTAACTATGATTAAGCGCAAACGTCATCCAATAAGAAGCGCCTATTTGAGAGTTAATCACTATTTAACTACAAAATAGTGATTAAAAAAGTGATTAAGAGTTTTATACAACCGGCCCCTGAATTACAAAGAACGTCCCATAATAAACAGCACGGTTGAAGATGGAGTGCATTTATATAGGTGGTATTTAAATATCGATGGGGTTTATTGTTTCGTGTGTTTCCGCTTTTTTTTCTACAGTGTTTAATTTGGTGGTAAAGGAGTTAAAATTTTACTGTTTAATTCATAAATCTATAGTAAATATACATATCTACACACGCTCCCTAAAAACACTCAGGTTAAAATGTTCCTGCTTAAACTTTTGTCCCTACTTGGACTTTTGTTTCGTACTTTTATTCATGCATTTACGGAGTAATAATACACGCTTTGTCCATGCTCGGATTTATCGTGTCAAGCCAACCATTTTCCAGAGCTGCGCCGGCCAATTAACCTGCGAACGGGCAATGCTCTGAGTACGAGATCGCGGCATTATACTGGACATACCGATCCAAAAAAAGCAGGAAAAAGCGAACATTCAATCAATTAAAAGATACCAGATCTATTAAATGTCCGATAACAAATGTAAAAACATACCTGATAGCAAGTTTCTCTGCCAGATATCTAAGTTGGTGGATGTGCAATGGAGGAGACTTAAGGTGGCTCTCTAGGGTTTTTTAATTTACTACACTATAGTATTCAGGAGACTTCTGTTTCTTTACTTTACATGATATGAAAACGAAATTCATTGGACACATTGATAATGTTCTCCTGAACATTGCAAATTGCTACTTTTGTGTTAAAAATATGTTGTCATGGCAACAGCATGCTTAGAATAAAGCTCAAAATTTGTCTTTTTCAGGTCATTTTAGAAATTTCCTTTCGGTGAAATTTTTTAAAACTTTGCATAAAGGGTAATACTTGTATAATGATTTTTTCCCTTCAATTTAAAAAAATTAAATCGATACGTTTCTTAGAAAATTTAAAAAACGTCAAAAATCAATATTAAAAATTTTCCCTTCGATTTAATTTTAAGAAAAAAGGATATTACACTTGTTGTGCCGATATTAAAAAATGTGCAAAGTTTTAAAAAATTTTACCGAAGGAAAACAGAGAAATTTGGGTTTGATTTTGGCAATTTTTAGTAGATTTTTACGCGAACAATTTAATACCCCAACTGACGTGTACATGCATTCTGCATAAAACAACAAGGCGTGACTTTTTTGAAATCACAAAATATAAATTATGTTTGAAATTTGAAAAACTGTTTATAACTGTGTCGGTTAATGGTCAACTAAGCGTGGATTATACATGTAGAATTGGCAAAGACATTTAGGTAATTACTGGTTATGACTTCTTGGTATTAATTTGAAAAATTTTGTCAAAATTCGTCCCGTGCGAGATATATCGTCGGATGTTTTCGCAAAATGCCCGTTCAAATTTCAGTTTTTATAGTGGTAAGTAGTATAGGGAAGGGGGTTCTGCGTCGGGTGGTGCGGGTGGTGCAGTAAAGCACCACCCATGACGTCTCACAGTATATTTCATATCAATTACGCACGCTTGTAACGTGTTTAAAAGGTGTGGACGAATCACAGGCAATAGGACAGGTGTAGTGTTGTTAAATAGAAAGTTAGAAATGGTATTGTACTTACTCATGTATTATAATTATGTTTAAAAGATCAGAATATTCATAACTTCTTATTTTGTTTCATAAATAGTTCTTTAATATTCGAAACAAATTCCATGTCTGCTTCGTCTGCCATCGCCATGTTTACTCGTCCCAATCTACATGCTGCATGGCATTGCCGCCCCTCCTGGCAAAATAATAGGCAAGCGAGAAAAATTAAGGAGAAAATAAGAGGGTAGGAACATTGTGGGCGTTTCGTGGGCGTGTCATCGTTCTGGGCGAATCAGCTTTCTCAATCTTGTATCACATGACTAATTCAAATCGTCATAGGCGGGAAGCAGCATTACACGTCATCCCTATACGTCAAATAAAACGTTATAAAACGCGTCGTGGATACGTTTGTGCCATATATGGAAGTTATGGATACGTTTGTGCCATATATGGAAGTGTCACTGCATCCAGCTTATGACAACGATGTTCCTACCCTCTTATTTCTCCTTAATTTTTCTCGCTCGCTTATTATTTTGCCAGGAGGGGCGGCAATGCCGTGCAGCATGTAGATTGGGACGAGTAAACATGGCGATGGCAGACGAAGCAGATATGGAATTTGTTTCGAATATTAAAGAACTATTTATGAAACAAAATAAGAAGTTATGAATATTCTGATCTTTTAAACATAATTATAATACATGAATAAGTACAATACCATTTCTAACTTTCTATTTAACAACACTACACCTGTCCTATTGCCCGTGGACGAATGATTACTAGCGTTTTAAGAAAATTTTTACGATTTAATACTTTGCTAATATATTTATCTCCACATATATTCCTTAACTTCTAACAAACTGAATGGAGTTTAACACATTCTCGATATATATTCTACTAAAGTTGTTGTAATACTTGTGGGACGTAGATATTGTACGCATGCGCAGTGAGAATTGGGTATTACGAAAATTCCTGACTTAAAGGAGTTTGCAAAGATTCCGGGGGGGGGGGCTAAGATACTGTGTGATATCCTAAGATACTGTATGATATCCTAAGATATTGTATGATATCGTAAGATACTGTATGATATCCTAAGATACTGTATGATATCCTAAGACATTGTATGATATCCGGGCGTCGTGTTTCCACACAATTTCTCGCTTTCCCAATTCCACTCGTGCTGTATATCAACACGGAAAATGTTTTATATTTGTTAAATATTGTATGATACCCTAAGATACTGATATCCTAAGATACTGATATCCTAAGATATTGATATCCTGAAATATTGATATCCTAAGATGCTGATATCCTAAGATGCTGATATTCCAAGATATTGACTACTCCGGCAAATGAGTCAAGTTTGCATAGAAACACGGTTCTATGTATTGTTGGCTCCTATACTCCTAGCCCTACATCGACCCTACATCGACCCCACATCGACCCTACATTGACCTCACATCGACCCCACATCGACCCTACATCGACCCTACATCGACCTTACATCGACCTTTCATCGACCCTTATCTTCATCTTCTTATCTTCCTTATCCTTATCTTTTTATCTTCCTTATCTTTATCTTCCTTATCTTTATCTTCCTTATCCTTATCTATCTTCTTATCTTCCTTTTCCTTGTCTTTATCTTCCTTATCCTTATCTTTGTCTTCCTTATCCTTATTATTATCTTCTTATCTTCCTTATCCTTAATAATCCTCCCGCTATATTGATATGTTCAACACAACTTAGTCTCAGAATCGAGCTCGAATGGCTCGGAGCCGAGCTCGAATGGCTTTAGGATTCAATGATTCAATCGTATGATTCAATGATTCAATCATAAGATTGAGTCATTGAATCATAACATTGAATCATTGAATCCTAAAGTCATTCGAGCTCGGCTCCGAGCCATTCGAGCTCGATTCTGAGACTAAGTTGTGTTGAACATATCAATATAGCGGGAGGATTATTAAGGATAAGGAAGATAAGAAGATAATAATAAGGATAAGGAAGACAAAGATAAGGATAAGGAAGATAAAGACAAAGAAAAGGAAGATAAAGATAAGGAAGATAAAGATAAGGATGATAAGGAAGATAAAGATAAGGATAAGGAAGATAAGAAGATAAAGATAAGAAGATAACGATAAGGATAAGGAAGATAAAAAGATATAGATAAGGAAGATAAAGATAATGATAAGGAAGACAAAAAGATAAAGATAAGGAAGACAAAAAGATAAAGATAAGGAAGATGAAGATAAGAAGATAAAGATAAGAAGATAAGAATATGGAAGATAAAGATAAGGAAGATAAAAAGATAAGGATAAGGAAGATAAGAAGATGAAGATAAGGGTCGATGTAAGGTCGATGTAGGGTCGATGTAGGGTCGATGTGAGGTCGATGTAGGGTCGATGTAGGGTCGATGTGGGGTCGATGTAGGGTCGATGTAGGGCTAGGAGTATAGGAGCCAACAATACATAGAACCGTGTTTCTATGCAAACTTGACTCATTTGCCGGAGTAGTCAATATCTTGGAATATCAGCATCTTAGGATATCAGCATCTTAGGATATCAATATTTCAGGATATCAATATCTTAGGATATCAGTATCTTAGGATATCAGTATCTTAGGGTATCACACAATATTTAACAAATATAAAACATTTTCCGTGTTGATATACAGCACGAGTGGAATTGGGAAAACGAGAAATTGTGTGGAAACACGACGCCCGGATATCATACAATGTCTTAGGATATCATACAGTATCTTAGGATATCATACAGTATCTTACGATATCATACAATATCTTAGGATATCATACAGTATCTTAGGATATCACACAGTATCTTAGCCCCCCCCCCCCGGAATCTTTGCAAACTCCTTTAAGTCAGGAATTTTCGTAATACCCAATTCTCACTGCGCATACGTACAATATATACGTCCCACAAGTATTACAACAACTTTAGTAGAATATATATCGAGAATGTGTTAAACTCCACTCAGTTTGTTAGAAGGAATATATGTGGAGATAAATATATTAGCAAAGTATTAAATCGGAAAAATTTTCTTAAAACGCTAGTAATCATTCGTCCACACCTTTTAAACACGTTACAAGCGTGCGTAATTGATATGAAATATACTGTGAGACGTCATGGGTGGTGCTTTACTGCACCACCCGCACCACCCGACGCAGAACCCCCCCTTCCCTATACTACTGTGGTATGTTTGGAGTTTCGGCCCTGCTCATTTCACCCGTAGAGGGCTCATTATTTAAGTCATCTTTATTGTCATAAGTGCTGCTAGATTGTGGAGAAAACACTGCAAATTCTTGAGGAAACTTTATATCATATCCCAATGTTCGCGACGAACCTCGCGTACGGCGGTTCAAAAAACTTCCAGAATACCGCTTGAAAAAAAAACAAGTTTACATTATCTTCTTTTGAAACATCACATCCAAGTATCGTTTTGGCTTTTAGAACTCTTTTTAGGCTTTCAACTAAAGCAAAGTTTACACTTTTGTTTCAAAAAAGAGTTCCATATAAAACACAACGTTCGTTCGTATTTTGAAGTCACACGAGTTTTAGTTTACATATATACGAAGAACGTAACCCCCGGAAATACAACCCTAGGGAGCCACCTTAAATAAAATGAAAACCAAAATAACTTGACATGATATATGACTCAGTGTAAAAAATGGAAAATTGTTGCCCGCCCCGACCATAAATAAAACGAGTATACCTTACTAACATAACAAACGAAATTCAATACTACTGATCTTGTTAACTCAAACCCCGCTAACTCGAACAATTTTTGGCTTCCCTTGGGAGTTCGAGTTACCTGGGTTCTACTCATGGCCGTTGCTTATGGGGTGTTGCGGGTGTAACACCCCCCTGAAAACAGGTTGCCACGAAGCTAAGAATTTGTCGGCAATTTCTACATCTTTCGGCTAAGAAAATTTCACTTCCTCCCCCAGTCAACACATACTTTGGGAAATGTACAAAGATGGCCGCCGAATTTCAGTTTTGTCGGCTAATACAATACACTACCCCCCCCCCCCCCC